TGGTGACTCTGAGGACCTAGAGTTGATTCATGTTGGTCTGTTTGATTGCCTATATGCTCGAAGAATACATTTATAATATTATTATCTCCCCTGAAGATGGGCTGCCTTGTTTTTTTCCATGGTCATCTGCAATACTTAATATCAAGCACGACTTCCAGGATCTTGTTTTTTTTAGTTAATTTCTTTTTGATAGATCACTTACAGAAGCTTTTCACCTTTTCAGCTGGCCATTTTCACCCAGAACCTGAGAAGCACCTTTGTCAGAGAGCGGAAAGTTATGGCTCATGTGTGGGTTGTGAGTGCATCCTTGGCAAAGAGCCACTAGTGCCTGTTCACACTTTGTGCTGAAAAGAAATTGAACATTATGAGCTGCGAGATGCCACATTGCCACACTGATCTTGCTAGCTGGAGTTTAGAAACTGTGGCCAAAAATTGGAAATTCAGGAGCAAGATGTTGACTTAAAAGGCCAAAACTTGTGTTCCACTTAAGCACAAAAAGTGGTGATAAAGGGTAATTGATTCTGTTTCAGTTTACTGTACAAATGTGTCAGTGAAATTGGGGTATAAAATGCACTAGCTCAACAACAAAACCGCTGGTAGTTCTCAGTTAAATTCAATTTCATTTTGTACTTCTGAAGCCATTACTCTGATTAAACAATGGCATTATGTGTGTAGATCTTTGTGAGTTTTGTTGTACAATGTACCTGTTATCAAAGATTAGCTTAAGACATGTTTTAACATGTACGTAAATGGCTCTACTTTGAATAATAATTTGATAAAAGTTCAATTATCTTGTTAATGTCTTTGAAATTACATATATTCCTTTACCTTTAATAAAAATTTAGAATCTATAAATATGACAAGTGTTTCCTACTTCACTGCAAAGGTCATTCTCAGTATAAGTGCACTTGAGGCTACAAGTCTCCACACCACACGAACAGCCAAATCTGATTCAACTGACAAAATTCAGAAACTCTGCACACTCATCATTCTGTATAGTAAAGCTGTAGGTACAAAACAAACGTATTTTTGAGTGGAGGGGGACTTTAAGATTCAGGGTAGTCAATAGAAGTGAGGCGGTTTGACTAAGTGGTTTTTATAGCTCCATAACATGCCTTGGAGCTGAACTGATGCGTATGCAGTATGTCCAGGTAATCTACTTCTAAACCTCTTGTGCCCTTCGTCTTGGACTGGAAGCAGCAAATAATATGCATTGTGTCTGGCCGGAGTTTCTTGGTGTGGAATATCCTATTGACTATTTACTCTCTTTTCAGAAGTGTGATACACAATCTGCCTTATTTATTGATGATGGATCAGCTCTCCTGTCTCTTAGTCATTGTTGATACCTTAACAAACAGGCAACAAAACACACACTCTTTGTGTATGCATCACATACATGCATACATACATACCGCCCCCTGGAGATGATGAAATGATTCAAGGCTGCCATCAATATTTGCCATGCAATGAGGAACCCCATTTATCAAAGTTGTGTTTACTTAATGGAAAGGGAAATTGGTATTGATTGATATTTGAATGGATTCAGTTGGGATTCGGGCAGAAGGGTTTTTGTGAAATGCTGAAGGCTTGTATCCAAATATCCAGAGCACTTTCCAGTAAAGTTCTCCAGGGATTATTTAATGTAAATGTAAAGTGCTCTGGTAGTTGGATCTCACTGGATTGGTGCCACATGCTGCTGTAATAGAGCTCCTTTCTTTCCTGTATTTACATTGTGCTGCTGGATTCAAACAGGCCTTTGTTTATATTTCTTTAAATGTGTATGTTCAAATTATCTGTAGTATACATACGCATCTTAAATGACAATTTACAGAAAATGTATGAAATTGTGTTTGTGTGTGTGTATATCATGTGTGACAGCAGAATAAATAAGCACTGACATACACCCATTCTGTTGATCTGTAAAGTCTCCTTCTGTCAGAATATTTACACCTCTGGGACTGCACAGAGACAGAGAATTGGGTTGTAGTAGCTGTCAGTTTCAGGGAACCATGAAACACAGAGCAGGTGGAGTGGGATAGACCTTGGCTGCCTTTCCTTTCTTTCCTCTCTTCTTCTCTTCTTATAACCGTCACTATGAATGTGTGTGTTGTCTGTGTCTTTGAAGTGCGTGGCTCTCTCCACTAAGGCCTCAGTGTGCAGAACTAATGTACTCAGGGGACCGGATAGAGACGAATCCTCTCTGCCGAGTCTGTCCCAAAGGATGGACCAGGGTGATGACTGGTTCAAGACCCAGAGTCTGTGTGTGTGTGTGTGTGTGGTGTGTGTGTGTGTGTGTGCATGCATATGAGTGTTTCTATGTCTGTGTCAGTATTTTAAACTTATTTTTTACTGTACTTCTACTTTACTTTGAGTTAATTTTTTTCAGTCTTTTGTGGCTGAGAATTGTGAAAGAAAATAATAGACTAGGGTGGCTATTTTATAAAATTTTAGTTTAAGATTTCAGTCAAAAAAATAAAATAAAATGTACCAATATACTGCTATACTGTATATTTGCTATTTGCATTTTGGCAGTGCTTAGAGCTTTTCTCTTTGTAAGAATCAGAGGCAGTTTCAGATTTGACCCCTTTTTAGAAACTATCCTAATCTTTATACTGAGTCTGGTTGTTTTGTTCTTTCTGTACATGGTTTTGACAAAGATTTGGTGGCCTGTTTTTCTATTTTATCCAGTAGCTTGGTTTAGCAAATACTTTATTGATCCTATCAAGTGTTGCTCACTCAAAGAGGTTGCACTATTTGACAGGCCATTTCAAATCCTGTGCTCCCTACTGTGATTGTGTGTGTGTGTTTGTGTGTTTGTTTAATTTGTGTATCTGTGTCTGTTAGTTATACTGTATAGCATACACACAGTAAATACTGACATTTTGAAAAAGTACTAAGATTTTATACATGTGCAACAGAGAATTAAAAAACACGTGCACTAGCATTTGCTGTGGGCACAGTGTGTCTGGGGATTTGTTTTTCTTAATCACTGTGTTCTGATTCGACCCGACTCGACATTGTGTTGCTCTGTGTGTCTCTGTGTCACTGTTTGTTAGTCAAGTTTATAGGAAAAATGGCTTAATGTTACATGGTCAGACCCCTGCAATTGCTCTACACAGAGTTCAATTACATTGACTCACATGCACTGTTGACCCCAGGTTTATCCTATTCAAAGACAGCTTTAACTCTCCGACTGTCCTTGAATGTTCACATTAGATTTATCTAGATATTTGCTGCTCTGGTGCACCTGTTTCCTAACAGATTACATTTTGGTCTTTTAGATTTATTTCAATTTTTTCTTTCCCCCCCAAGAGATCAACTCTATTTCCCTCTCCCTCTTTGTCTGTTTGACAGCAGGTGCTGTGAAGCTAAAATTGTTATGGACTGACTTTTCCATGGAGAGTTTTACACAGCACCACATGTATCACCCAGCCGCGGTGGTTTAAACTGTTGCTGTGTGCAGCCTGTACAACCCTTTGCAAATAAATATTTTGATATCTGTAATCATAGATTTGTGAATTATCAATTAATCATTGCTCTTAATGTGGTAACAGTGGTAATAATACTCTTCTGCCAGTGTCAGTGGGCTGCCAGTGCTGAAGTGTAATTTAATAGTACTTTGGTTTTTGGATTGCCTTTTGTGTTTCTGTTTCAGTGAACGGCATAATATAATACACACGTCTCCTACAATGTCTGCTACAAATGCCAGTTCATTTGTATCTGTTTATTTCTCAAGTGGCATATTTACCAATGTTTGGAATTTTTGAGGGCAGCACAAGATAATCACAGTGAGACCAAATGGACCACAGTGCAATTATACTCACTATTATTAACCTGTAGCCTCAGTGCAGGGCTGTCTCTAAAGAATAGAAGAACAATGCTGCACCTCCATATTCCACCATAACACCATTGTGACACTTCCAAAAATAGGGTGTTAAATGCATTGTCTGGGCATATTCTGTTTGCACGCAATAAAAATGTTTGTAACGTATAAATTCATAGCATCTTCACACAAAGAAATGCTGAAATCACTGTTTTCTGTGATTTTTGTAGACAGGCATGTTGTTTTTAGGGTCCAGCATTATTCTGGAGGGAAACAATGTTATTAACAATTACAAGAAATGTTTTGACAGCCTCATTAGGTGTTAATAGAGAGTCTCCTTGTGGGTCTTCTTTCCCCTTTTTTCCATTTGCATCCTTAAACTGTTTTTAGCTGTTTGGAGATCTCTCTGCTCTTCTGCTCCTCTCTAGTGGGAGTTTCTCTTATGCTAGCCTTGGCAGTCTGTTAGTAGCCTCCCAGTGGTCCACAAGCATTTCCCTACTCTTTTATAGTTATTCTGAGCCTCATCTCAGAGTACGATAGCTGGGGAAATATGACAGGAATGCCCACGCACGGGTTGTCTAATGGGAAAGAGAGCGGAAATGAGAATAAGATCAGCAAGAGGTAGAGGAGGAAAGTAAGTTGTAGTGGACCTTAGAGTATAGCCTTGTTCATCATGTGGCTTGCTAATGGCCCTCTGCCTAGGACAGGAACCACGATTAGAGCCAGTGGGGGCTCCCTGTCAAAGTGGAGTATCAAAGTGAAGTATAGCACTGACCTCAGGGCTACAGCGTGACATGAAAAGCCACCAAGATGACCCCTTTCAAGAGCCTGAAGCTCAGAAGCTTCCCAAAGAAGTACTACACCTGCAACATACTATATAATGCACAAATAATAATTTTCCAAAACATGAGCAATTTCTCTGTTTACCTTTTCAGTCTGTTCTTACGGGCATTTTTCACATACCCAAACGATCTAAAAAACAACAAAATGCCATTACCTCAAGTAAAACAAAAATGATCAAGTTATCAAGTAACCATTTTAAAGCAGTCAGTCTTGAAAGATATTGAAGTAAACAGTGTTGAATCAACTTCTGCTGAGCCCTATCAGTTGACCAGTTTCCTCTCTTTGTCCTCATAAAAACAAACATAACTCATGTAACTTCTCTCTACAGGGCATCAACATAGTGGGGCCCAGTAATGCAGAGCCCCCGCCTCGACCTCCCAGTCCAGCCATGTACCAGCTGGATATCGTCCTAAAGAAAGGGAACAACCTGGCCATCCGAGATAGGACAGGTAGGTCTGTTTATTCTTCCTGTTACCTGAACAGTATTGAGGTTTATGTAGAGAGACAGTGTGAATAGTAAAAGTTGGTTTATACCCAGGCTTTTTCATTGTATCGTCAATCCATCCGCTATCTTTGAGGGGTCTCCCCTATTTTTATGTATAATGTAATAATAATAATGTAATATTTCTCTTGGCACTACTTTTTTTTTCTCTCTTCACCTCTATTCTTTTCTCACAGTTTTGTCCCTTTCTTTTCTCTCTTATCTCTTTCCCCATGTAGGGTTTTATTAAATCACACATCTTGTCCTCACAGCTCACCCCATTTTCCATGTGTGAAGTGAGATGGAATTACTAGGAATGATACAGCACATTTCCTGTGCAGCTAGGCATGAAAAGAATTCAGCTTTGGCTAAAGCTAGAACTTTGTCACATTTGGAGCCAAGACAGTTGTTACTAGTATGATCCCCTGGTACTTTTGTGTAATATGACTAAATCATAGTGCAAGTCTATCCCTTCACTACCAAGTGTGATTAAGGCTTTTAGTTTAAGTGAGTACTTCACAGTATTGTTTATCATTGTATGTGACCACTCTCAAAGGTTTCTGCATTTTGTGATAAATATTTAATTTAGTAACTTTAAAAGACCAAAATCCGAGACCCCAAAGAAGGCTGAGTGGTAGTTCAAAGGGGTCAGCGGAGTAGGAGTGGGCATGTTTGGGCAGTGCTATCTTGAGCTGTTCAGTTCATTGCATATACCTGTCTCTCCTAACCTTGCGAGGCAGCTGAGATCAGCATCAGCATCATATGCTAGCCAGTATGTGCAGTCAGGGTCTTTTGAGGAACTACTGGCAACTATGACATGAGCTACTGGCACGGTTTAATGCTTTGTGTGTGTGAGGTGTTAAAGAGGTTATCATAGATGCTGCTAGCATCAGTTATATCAGAACTGGAGAATATTTCTTTATAGAAAGAAGAGCAAAGGATGGCACTGAAGGCTTTTATTGATGGAAAATATATTTTTCGCTTTTCTCCCAACTGGTGAGTGTTTGTTTAACTACTTTATATGGTTCATTGATCTAATTGGTTGAAGTTTGCCCATAATAGACAGATGGTCAAGGTACTTTTCTGAAACATTTCCAACAATGACTTCCCAGATGGTTCTGTGTAATAAACCATCTGGCGCAGTCAGGTTATGTCTCTCCCAATGTGGTAAGAAAGAGCGTTATCTATTCTGTGCACCAGTATAAAATATATTATCTCATATTAAACCTCGCTGGACCACCACAGGAGAGTAATTTTAAGATAGCCTGCCGCCCACTGTGAAAGCTGTCTGACCACAGCCCTTATACTGTGCTTAAGCAGGCGATTATGTCTTCCACAGTGGAAATGCCAGCTAACCAAAACAAGCAGGGCCACATATTTTCATATATATTCTAACAGACAGGGGTTTGGATAGTGATGGATGACAAGGTCTCATTAGCAGTTGTAGCAGTCACCATGACGACAGATCCGAATAAGCTGCCCTCTCCTGTGTACATTTTGCCTGACTACCTGTCCGTCCGGATAATGAGCAGCGAGGTGCAGAGCTCACCTGTGTTGTCCTGAGCCCATCAAGATAGCTTATTATAGAGAGGGAAAGAGACAGAGACACAGTCAAATAACACAGAATTATTGTGGAAAGAATTTAATCCGAGCAATCATCCATTGTATATAACAATTACAGTTACATGTTTGATAACATCAGTGTTGTAGCACATGAACCAATCAGTCTAGGCTCCCTTGTCGGGTATTTTTAAAATAAAAGTAATTTGCTGGGAGAAGCGGTTTAGTTTTGGTACCTATTGATTCACTAAAGTTTCCCCAACATGAATTATAAATGATGCAAATAGTTTCCAGTTTTGTCTGCGAAACATTTTTAGGCTTTCTTTTTAGAAATGCCTCTGCAATATGGATTTCCACATATTCACATCCAGTGAACCTGGAAGTGAAACTGAAAATAACTGAGCTGAAAATAACAACATGCAGGAAGGTATGCTAATCATTTCATTACAATATATCATAAACTAGTGTGGTATCAAATAAAGATACCAAAAGCATTTCTTAAACAGTAGCCTTAAAAACCACTGAAACATCACCATAAAATAACTATGTAAAATGATAAAAAAAAACTCAATATTAATATAAACCTGGTCGTTTGCTTTTTACATTTACATTTTAAGTTTAAACAACATTTTACATTTGTAGCCAGCTAGGGATTCTTTCTATAGTGCATTTACAGCAACCAACCTGTCCCATGTCACATTACATTGTGGGATAAAATGCTGGAAGAAAGCATTTTATACTGTTTCTGAAAAGCAGGATATTATTGTGGTTTTGTTATAAAATTAGTTTTCTTTTTTGTAATTTGTGAATTTCCTCCTCAGTTCAAGGGAAAACAAATTGCTATAACCAAACAGCACTAGAAAAAACAAGTTTACATGTGCATAGCTTACCTGTACTGTACATAGTTGTTGTTTGCATGATGCCATGGTACAGTAATACTTTCCGAATATGATATCATCTGATTTGATCAAACATACATATCAGACATTTTGCTTATTAAATTGGTTTAAAATTAAAGCACTCTGACTAAATATATATCATACGAATTGGCCACTGAAAAGCTTCTGTTGTAGTTGTCAAAAGCATTCTCGTTTCCTCATAAAGCTTTTTGAGCACCTGCACTCTGTTGCACTCATCCATTTCTGCTGATCATGCAGGTGCAGTCAGTTCAAGTCAGTGAAGGTTCATTGCTTAGGACAGAGGGTGGACACTGCATTAAGACCGGTGAAAAAGTGAAGCCATTCACATGACATACCGAAGGACCAATGTATCAACGTGTCACCCTATGATGGTATTACACTGTATTTCACCCTACTGTAATTTCTACTGATAGTACACACAGGCACAAGGTATGTGTGGATATGCATTTATAGGTTGTATATGCATCTATAGTTAGAATTGAATTCAGGATTGCCATTGACCATATAGGAACCTGTTTATGCTCTGTTTGTCTCCATATGGTGCTCGGAGGTTGGTTGTTATCTAACATCACAGTGCACAGACCTTCAGGGGCTGCTTGATAGGAGGAATGAGACAGTACTCGCTCAATTGTTTGGTGTTAAACAGACAAGAGACATTTGGGAGCTTTTTTGATACAACCACAATAACGCGTTGGCATTGTCATCAGCCTCTCTCCAGCCTACACTGTTTGTCGCCAGGGGAGACAGCCAACACTGTGACATGCTTTAATATTATGACAAGATAACAATAATAAGCATTGGATATGGATGAATGAAGTCGATAGAGTTTTAACGAGGTACAGCTTGTACAGAATAAGTGTCTACCCTGATGATGTGGTGTCTCGTCTAATTTTCCCTCTGTTCGTTTACACCTGCCTCTGATGATGTATTCAATTTAAACTGCAGGAAGAGAGATATTAAAAGCAGGGGAAAAGAAGAAGAAGTGATAGCCACATGGTAAAGGCCATAGCACAGCAAATTCTACCTGCCAAATGACCTTGCTTTGCATTTCCCCTTATCCTATATGGGTAACACCCTGTTGTGTCCCCAGGTCCCCAACCCCTCATATATGATGAGTTACCAATGGGATGTTTTTGTAGGTGACCTCAGATAAAAACACACTGCCCTCTGTCTCCACCTCTAGTTCCCTGTGGGTGAGGTACAAGGTGAGGCATATCTATAGTCCAAGACATGAGATTGCAGCTTCTCTTTTCATCTTGCAATACCTGTTGCCAAATTCTATTCTAAAATCAACACATAGAAGTAGCTAATGATCTTTGAGCAATCAGAGACACAAGTTGTTGTCCACTTTGATGGTGGTGGTAATGCCCAGCAATTCAGGAGTAAGACAGTGTGTTTACCAGGAATGGAATAGCTTCCACATGGATTACATTTACCACCAGGCTTTGGTGTTGCAGTGTGAAACTTTTTAAGTGCCATATTGCTTTTTTGTTTGGATTCATTTTATAAAACTTAAGAGTTCTAGGTACCTAATGATGTGATGTTTAATGAGTTATATAATGATAATGATAATGATAATGCAGCAATCAATTGTTGAGACTAGAGACTAAAGAATCACTTATCAGTGTTACACTTGATACACTTACATGTAGTAACTCTTTGCTTGACCGTTCTAGCTTTTCATCGCCGTGTAATTGTTATTTTTGTAATGAATTGTGTTTACAGATGCTTTTAAAGCAGAGGGCTAAATGGCCCTTTGGGTTGCCTGCGCTGATATCCATTCCAGTGGACTACTGATGCGCATTTATACCACCAGAACTATTCCTGCTGCTCTATTACTTGGTTTTCATGTAATGAAGGATAATTATGCAAATACACCAGGTGCAAGTTGTAGTACACAGAGTTCACTGTGCTGTATTTTAGAAATAGTGTAGTTTCACTTGAATGCTGAATATTCAATTTTTGCAACTGAAAAGTTTTCCTAATAGAAAATGGCTCTTAGTGTCAAGCAGTGTAGCTACTATCAAAAAGAAGGAAATCAGCATTTGCCTGAGTTGTAAATAATTTCTATCTGCTGAGACAGACCTTTTGCTGTGCCATTAATTTTACGTTTGTTCTTTATAGCGTCTTATGCCATTGATAAAGAACTATATATTCCTAAGACTAATTATGAGTGATAATGCAATTTCTATAGAAATGTGATCCAATTGCAACCCTAATGACCATAGACACATGTTACAATCAGTACAATATCTTGTTTTTATGTTTTCTATTCAAATTGAAGCAGATTAACAGGCACAGGTGGTAGACAATGTAAAACACTGACACAATTCGAATGTACTTTATGTTGTGGGTGTAGTACCCTATCATTAGTTCTTTATCACAAGCTGCTCATTGTCTTACATCTTCTGGGCAATCTTCACTTGGTCTTATTTTACCTGCTGGTTGTAATTTTACATTGGTTCCTCTCATGAGGCAGGCTATTTTA